TCAAGCCCAGCCCCGGCCAAAAACTGCAAAAAAAAAAAAAAATCCTGAGGTCCAAAAAGGTATTGGTCACATATAGGGAATATTTTGAAAACCAAAAACATTGGGAGTCATGCTGCTGCAGCAGTGGTTTTATAAGACCCCTTTTACTACTCAGTATTCCATAAGGAAGCCTGCCCCTTTCACCAAGCAATGCCCCACAACCAGGCTGCTGCTCCCAGTTTACATCACTGCCATCTTAACGTTTCATTCCAATAAATAAGGATGACTTATCCCTTATGCCCTTTGTCATGGTTAGCACCTTGATATTCCAGAGTGCTGGGCCTGCCCTTGCATGCTACTGACCCCACAGGTCCCAAGTAGGCTTCAGTGTCTTTCTGCTGTTGTTTAGGCCAAGTATTCTATAATTTGTTTTTCTAGCTAAGACCAATAAACGATCAGCTAAAGTCACTGTGGGCTGGTCAGAAGCCATCATCACTGCTATCAAAACCCAAGTCATAGAGCAAATTTTTCCCTGGCTCCTTGCACAGAGAGGGCTCTGAACTTCCAAGGCTGAGGTCACTGTTGAGGTCACTGAACCAGCTCATCTGATGATCCCTCTGGGAACTGCTGGAAAGCAGGCTGTTGTCTTGGGAAGAGGAATGGCTAAGCTGCAAGAAGCTACCTTGTACTGTCTTTGAGGTCTTATTGGGCATGACTGTTCCTCCCAGAATAGGGCAGACTGACTTTGTGAGACTCCTGGGGCCCTGTAGATGTAGGGGCTGAGCAACGGGTTCCTGCTGCCCCATGGGGGGCCTTTGTGAACCAGAAACTGAAGACTGAAGACTTTGATATTTAGAACTGAAAGCACAGGTCTTGCTTGGGGTTTGTTCTCTCTTCTTGGCTAGGAGCCTGCCTCTGTGGGCTTTCCTGGGCTGCTGCTTCTTGCCTTTTCTCCCTCTTTCTACAGTCCTTCCTTTCTGTTTAATTGCCAATTGTTCACATGGGTCACACAAAAACATGCTTTTGGCTTGACATTTTTGGCAGGCATTCTTAATGCTGGTTGTAAAGTTGTTAAAGTTCCTAGACTTGAACGGTGGGGTTCCTTGGGAAACTGGGTCCTTGTCATCAGAAACTTTGTGGCATGGGATACTGGAGCCATGGTTCTTGGGATCCATTTTAGTAATGGCCCAGTTCTTGCAGTTAGTCTGCACTGCCTTGTCTGTTACATGCCCATTTCCTTTATGGGGCCAAGCTGCCAACGATGTTGCCTCTTCTTGAAGAGCATCACCCCAGACACTGGATTCTCCAGGCTGTAGGGAGCCTATACTAGGGAGGGGCTGGGCCTGCCATAAAACTCGTTCCTTAGAGATGTATTTTTCCTGCCTGGTAAGATTAAGGCTCTGGGCCAGAGGTGGCGATGTCTGAGAAGTGTTGTCTTTCACATGCCCAGGTACCCGAGACACTGAGATCAAACTCTTCAGCTCTGCTAAGACACTGGGCACATTCAGCTGGCCTATCTTGTCACACAGCTGTTGGAAGTCCTTATTCTGCTGGGCAACTAGAGTTTCAAGGTGCTTCAAGTTTGATTTCATTTCTATAAACTCTGCTTGTCTCTAGGGACAGGCGGTGAGAAAGAAGAGAATGGTAGACAGTGCAAGTTAGAATGCACAATAAAACATGAGAACAGACCAATAGATGTGCTACTAGAATCAAGGCTTTCTCCTTGCAGGACACCTCACAGGGTTAGCACAACTATACACTGAAATTGGGCCCCTGGGGCCAAGAAACCTTGGGGAAGGAAGCTAACCCATACCCGGGCCCATTACCAAGGGGCTTTTGCTGAAAATTTGAAACTTTAAAGGTATCTCTCTGGGTTTAGCGACAAAGCTAAATATGCCCTGGAGGAAAGGGGCTAGGGTTTATACTTACAGCTTCAAATCTCTTCTGCATCTCAAGGATGGCCTGTTCCATGTTGCCTTTGTCCTGTACTGCCTCAAATACCAGGTCATTTTGGGCCCGAGCAGTCTCTTGCACTAAATAAAGGACAATGACAATTCACCTCATGAAGACTATGGCTGCCTCACCTGCCCAGACCACAGCAGTGAAAGGGAGCAGCTAGATGTACACATGGACCATTTGAGTCTTCTCCGCTAGTGCTTGGGGCTCTGTCCTCCTAGACCAGAGTGGTTACTTCAGTCTCTTCTTCCTTCCCTTCCTAGAAGATTCTGGCCAGGCCAGACCCAACCTCAGCACTTGCTAGGGACCTTTAGAATCTGTTGCCCAGATGACAGCACCAGTTTCCTCCATGGCTTTCCTTCTTGGACCCATCATCAGAATGGTATTGTAGAAGGACCCCTCTAAAACCTTCAGAGAAACTTTCAATGGCACCTACTAGTCACTGACAAAATCTAAATCTTTAAATTGGCTAACATGACCTGGGCTCACTTCCCTTTATCCACTTATCCTCCTTGTACCGAGGCTCTGTTTGCTAAATAATTTCTCTCTTACCACTGGCCTTTATGCAAGCTGGAATCATCTTGCTTCTATTCCTGTCACCCACCTCTCCCCCCAAACACCAGCTTAGTCCAACTATTTCCTATTCTTCCTTCTGCTCTCAGCAGTCACCTCTCAGAAAACACCATTTCCCACTCAGCTTGGCTGTTCCTTCTCTGTTGATGGCACTGTATGTATGCCCCACCCTCACTTATAGCCCTCCACTTATTCTCTTTATTGTTGGTCCCAAATAGACTAGGGGACTGGGTGCTAACCTCATCATGATTGATACTCATTTTCCTCTACTGCACGTTTAATGCTTTTTAATTTTATTTTTCACAGGGTAGTTTCCCTAGGATACGTGGACAGAATCTATACATACACATAGATACTTTATTTAGCAACACATTGTATTGCAATTAATCATTGCCATTTTCTTGCTAAACTATAGGTCATGTGAAGCTGCTCTTATATGGATTCAACAAATGTTTAATGAGCACATAAAATAATTCCAGGCACTATGGATATAACAGTGATTGAGGTAGATAAAGCCTTCTTGAAATTAGTCTTATCAGAAAAAATAGGTAGTTAATGAGTAATTATACAATTTACTATTTATAGATACAATAAATCCTCTAAAGGAAAGTATACCAAGGTTGAGACCATGTAACTGCATGGTCAATCTCAGGGGTAAGATTTCCCTAAAGAACTGATATTATCACTAACTTTTTTTTTTTTTTTTTTTTTTTT